TCCTATCTGGATTATTGAGCATGAATCAGAATAACTTGAGTTCAGTTTTGGACTTTTGTTTGTGTTTTTCATCAGTTCTTGTCTAAATAAAAAAAAAAAAAAACTGGAGCGAAATCGCTCCAAGCTGCAGTCCAGGAACGGATCACTTGCATTTATTCTTGTACAAAACGTTTACACAAGATACTGTTAGCAGGGATTCTTCTATTTATGACAGTTATAGATTGTTCTTTAGTTGTCATTGAAAACCAGGTTTAGATTTTCTTGGTGTTTCAGACAGATAACTGCAGAAAAACACACATTTCTAAATGTTTCACAAACTCCTGAGCAGTGCTGTCCATAACAAGTGGCACATCTTGCAGGAGAGAAGGTCCCGTTACCGTCTAAAGTAAATAATTTGAATACCAGCCTTTGTGAAGTAAATCTAATGGGCTGCATGACCCAACAGAAGAGCACATTAGTTTGTTATAAGCTCAGCAGCATGCTTCTTCTTCAGATGCTCCATAAAAAAAAAGCATTTTATTTGTTCAAATACAGAAAAGAACTGACACAAAATTACAAGATGTACAAACTTATCACAGAGATGCACTACTATGATTCTGTGTACCTGAATTAAAATCAGATTATTTTAAAATGCAGAAACACATTGTGGGGTTTAATTTTTTATTTTTTGGGGGGCATTTTTGAGTGACAGTATAAATTTCCAGTCATGGGTGTTCAGTTGGATCAACGACAGCACTCTGTGCAAATAAAATAAAAGTCTGGTTTCACTTCAGCACGTCTCTGCAGGATGTCTGCTGATCACATCAGGGGGAACTTCATGGCGATAGCTGCATGAATAGGTAGGTAATAACCTGTGGACGCCCTCCCTAGCTCCACTCCCTCGGGTGACACAGGTCAGGACAACCATCGGGGGCGTCAGCCGAGCACTTTTGTTATACACGTATCTGCACTTTGCTGGATGATTTGTACTCTTGCAGAAAAAAAAACACTCGTAGCTCCAGGGAATCGTTGTCCATCATGTCCTCTAATGCACATTTTTGGACACGGAGGAGAAAGACGTTTGACCTGGTCACACTGTGGAACTGCACAGAACCTTCTTGAAACCATATCCAGCTCTCAGAAAATGGACAAAAATCTTGGATCTACTCCACATTATAGCCTCAGTACTGGATGAAGTCCCTGACACGTATAGCATGTATCTTAGATCCTTATTTACTGTTTCTTTTTACACTTTATATTTTTGCTATTTTTGAATGTAACTGGGAACCTGGGTACATAATTTCGTTCCATCTCATGTACCACACGTGATGTGAATGACAATAAAATTGACTTGAACTTGAACACTGATGGTCCTTGTAGTGACTTAGCAATGTCTTCAGGTGGTTATTACAAATGCAGGGACTCCCCATTAAGGTAAGCTCTCTGTTCACTGGTCGGTCTACGTTCCTCCCCTCACCTCTGGTCATGAACTCTGGGTAGAGACTGAAAGAATGAGATCGTGGATACAGGAGGTTGAAATGAGTTTCCTCTGCAGGGGACTCTCCCTTAGAGACAGGGTGAGAAGTTCAGTTATCAGGAGAGACTCGGAGTAGAACCACTGCTCCTCCACATCGAGAGGAGCCAGTTGAGGTGGTTTGGGCATTTGGTAAGGATGTTTCCTGGGCGCCTCCCTAGGGAGGTGCTTCGGGCATGACCAGCTGGTAGGAGACCCCAGGGAAGACCCAGGACACGCTGGAGAGACTACATCCCTTGATTGGCCTAGGAACGCCTTGGAGTCCTCCCAGAAGTGCTGGAAGAGATGAATGTGGAAAGAGATGTCTGGACCTCCCTGCTCAAGCTGCTGAGACCTGAGTCCAGAACAAGAGGAAAATGATGGATGGATAGATGGGACTCCTCATTAAGGCATGACCCCAAGACACAAAACATTTGGCTTTTGAACATGTGATAAGGACCTTTGGATAGGTTTGATGAAGACAAATATGGACGAATCTTGTGCCGATTTTTCTCTATAAGAATTAAATGGTAAATGGACTGTATTTATATAGTGTTACTATTTTTGTACAAAGACTAATCAGAGCTTTATCACATTCATACACCGATGGGACACACATCGGAGGCAATGAGGGGTTCAGTGTCTTGCCCAGGGACACTTCAGCATGTGGCTGCTGGTGGAATCAAACCCCCAACTCTTTCATTGGAGGACGACTGCTCTAACCACTCAGCCACAGTTGCGCATTTAAGAAGAGAGGGAATGAAGATCCAGCAGTCTAAAGAAGAAGAGACAACAAGATGTGGTGAGTAGAGAGGCAGGAGGGTCTCAGATGAACGTATCGTTCTTCTTTTCCAGGTTTGATTAGCAAGGAGAAAAGTTACTCATGGAGGAGACCGCCACATATAATGACTAAAAACACTTCATGTGTTTGTCAGTCTGATGGCGATGGGTCCAAAAGCTCTGAGCCGTTACCAAAGGATGCTTGAGAGCCAGCTCGTTTTACTGAGATGACCCACGTCAGTTGGTTACCAGAAAGAGATGAACTATCACCAAAGTTCAGTCGTCATATGCTGCAGACAAAAACACAGGATTTCAGGAAAATCACAACAGTAATCGGATATTAAAAACGTGTTATTCCAGATGAATTTAAATGCAGCAGAGATGATGAGATCATAAGATTCAGGTGCAGCAACGCAACCAGGAAGTGAGTTGACACCTTGAAGTGTCAAGCAGGGATCCTGTTTACCCACAGCTCCACCTAAAGAGAAACAAGCTGCTGAGGGATCTGAAAAGTGAATGTTTTTAGTTTTTGAGATAAATGTTTTATCTGGACTGGAACTGAACAGAGAATGGTGCAAGATGTTCAAGTGGGTAGGAGATACACTGTACATAAGAACAGAGGTAGAGTTTTATTTTTTATGTTTGTCCAAGGCAGTGCAGAGTGACAAATCCTGGCATCTGGAAACCATGGTGGTGCCAGGGATTGGTGGCCTTGGCTTCCATTCTTTGCCACTCCAATCAGTTGAGAAAACTATACTTTTACTTTTAGATTCTTAAAATGATTGGGGTGTCCGGTTTCCAAATATATATGGTGGTGGCAATCTCGAATTTTAACATGGAATCCAAATTTTTGATGGTGAGTTTTTTTTTTTAAACCTAGGTGCAGCCATGCACCAAAGTGAAAGTTCAAGGTCGAGATCAAGGTTTCTTTATTGACACTTGCATCACATGTGGTACATGTGGTGGAACAAAATTGTGTACACAGGGACCCAGTTACATCCAACAAAATTCCATCTATCCATTATCTTTTACCCGCTTCTTCCTTTTTGGGACACTGGGGTCACTGGTGCCTACATTCAGCCATTACTGTGCGATAGGCAGGGGACACCCTGGACAGGTCTCAAGTCCATCACAGGGACACAGAGACAAATAAGACAAACAACCATTCACTCTCTCTCTCACCTAGGGACAATTCAGAGTTACCAATCAGCCTAACGTGTATTTTTTTGGTCTGTGAGAGTAAACTGGAGTACCCGGAGAAAAACCACGCATGCACGGAGAGAACATGCAAACTCCACCCAGAAAGGCCCCCGAACTGGGATTTGAACCACTGACCCGAACCACCACCATGCTGCCCTTTCCAACAAAAGTATAAATTGTAAAGAAAAACAGTAATAAGATCTAATATATGAACTAAGAAATACACTAAGCACTGATAGCACAAAAACAATACGCCAAACAACAGCAGCACGAACATGAGTCTGTGTGAGCAGATGAGGATGAATGTACATAGCAACAAGAAACATATCAGCAGCATGAGATCAGCAGCACAGTCAGAAGCACATATCACCAATCAAAGTGGGATTCCAGTGATTTATTTTCTTCACAGTGATTATTCTGTTTATAGATTCATGAGTCTAACAACTTCAGGGTAGAAGCTGTTCCTCAGTCTAGTGGTTCTACACTTAATGCTCCTCAACCTCCTTCCTGAGAGGAGCGGGGCAAAAAGTGTGTGTGCTGGGTGAGTGGGGTCCTTCATGATGCAGGTGGCCCTCTTCCTGCAGCTGGTG